AAGCCAAAGTCAATATCAGATTATATTAAAAGAGACTTACAATAAACACTAACCGTGCATCAAGGCAGTAAGCTCGATACGGCCATGAATAGGGGCCCAAGTTAAAATTATATAGGCTTACGCATATCCTAAGTGGTCCACGTCATCTCTGCGACTCCAAAACGATTAACAAAGGGGTCGCCTAGATGGTGTGGTCACTTTAATGACAGGCGTGAAGTCACTACATTCAAGTATATAAGGATGTGAAATGCAAGCAGGCACCATCTGAGGGAATGCATGGAAGCAGCTGCTATTAATATATTCGCAGGGCTAGTGCTCACTATAAGCAAACAAGGCGAACGCCTAGGGCGCTGCTTAAGGGTGGCGCCGGCCATGGCTTTCTGTTTGTGTCGTGGCCACCCCTTCATCAACTTAGACTATTCTGAGCATGCTGCCGACTATATTACCGAGCACTAACATTGTTGCTGACTAGTGCCTGGTAGAATACCGGTCCAGCGGCATACTCAACAGCCCTCAGAGACCGGTCCCTCCCAAGCATCCATTGCGGCGGCAGCGCGCGGGTGCATTAATTCCTCGCTCCCGCCCCTTCCCCGTACATGGGGAGAAGTGGGCGGGAGCATAACAGGAACAGGAAATATGCTGAGAAAGGATGTGATGGGCAGCCAGGCGCAGGCAACGGACAGCAATGAAGGTAAGGTATGTCAAATAATGTGTGTTAGTCTGCTTCAGTCAGTATCTTTGTATATGTCCGTCTGTATGGATCAGTGTGTGTGTGTGTATGTCATGTGTGTAATGTCTGTCTGGGTCAGTGTGTGTCTATATGGGTCGATGTGTGTCTGTATGGGTCAGTATGTGTCTGCATGGATCAGTGTCTGTGTCTGCATGGATCAATGTGTGTGCCTGCATGGATCAATGTGTGTGTCTGCATGGATCAATGTGTGTGTCTGCATGGATCAATGTGTCTATATGTATGTATTTGCATATGGGTCAGTGTGTGTCAGTCTACATGGGTTAGTGCATGTGTCAGTTTGCATGGGTCAGTGTGTCTGTATGTGTGTGTCAGTTTGCATGGGTCAGTGTGTCTATATGTGTGTATCTGCATGGATCAGTGTGTCTGTATGTGTGTGTCTGCATGGATCAGTGTGTGCATAGGAGTCTGTGTGCGTCAGTCTACATGACATGAGTTAGTGCATGTGTGTCAGTTCGCATGGTCAGTGTGTGTCTACTTGAGTCAGCGTGTGTGTTAGTCTGCATGAATGGGTAAAGCAAATGGGGCGGCAAATTTGATTTCGGCTAGGGTGCCAAAAATGCTTGCACCAGCCCTGTATATTCGGTTCAGCAGCGTGCAATGGTAAATATAATGCACTTCCCTGTTCAGGACGCACAGGCGTGGGGAGCATTCGGTCTGTGTGACGTAAGGAGGGGAGCAGTGCAGGCATGTGGAGCAGGTAAGTCTGCTACAGTAACCAAACTACAGGACACCCCTGAACTGAATAAATATGCAGTGCAAGACATGTGGGAGTGATTCAATGAAAAACGGATAAATATATTATCACAAAGTTACTGGTTTCATTGTGTGCTGACACTGTCCATATAGAACTAGAAAAAAAAAAAATTTTACACTGTAACTGTCCTGAGTTACAAGACAGTAATGTTGGTACCCCGGTTTGATAATAATTATATTTAAATAATAGTATTATAAATTGTAGAGCAATGAATAAACTGCAAATCACTAATTCTGAAGAAATTCCCCAGTTTAGCAATTTGCTTTAGGATTCATAACAATTAGGGAACTTGACGTGCCTAAATATGGTTCCTGCAGCTATCACACATTCATCCCTGAAAATTCTATTTCACAGAAAGAGTAGTAAATACATGGGATGGACTTCCAGAATGCTGTATTGAGTGAAAAAGCGAAGAAAGAACCAAATTTTGAAGACGAACTGTGACCTTTAGGCGGAGGTGATACTTACCTGGGGGCACCCCGTTGAACCTTTTGAGACCTCTCACGAATTTCCTAGCTGCGGCCGACTTCCTCCCCCTACTCAACCCCCGCACAGCACAACAACTCTCCCCCTCCCCCCCCCGGACCATTGGGGGTTATCCCGGTCCCCACTGGACTGACCAACCTAACTGCCCAACTCCAAAGGCTTACTGTCTGAACAACGGCATCCACACTCACCACTTATAGCCAAGATGGTGGATGCGCAAGTCTTACACGAACCGATGCCACAGTACACAGGAAAGCTCCAACACATGGAGCAATCGCTTCAACGTCTGGACGAGCTCTTTGCCCGATTCTGGGCTACACTTAAAAGTTATGGAGCAGCCACACAGATGCAGTCTAAGGAGGGAGTTCTGAGGAGTGTTGACCCGGGAGTGGGTGGTCCCCCAGTGGGCTCGGGCACCACCGGACAACCTGCAGAGCCTGGGCTCCGACTACCTAGGCCAAGGGCCTCAAGGGTATTAACCTTGAAGCATCAATCACACCAACAGAGATCTCCCCTCCGCAGGCGTCGATTAAACTCCAGGGCCCTATGTTGCCCACGCGGTGGGATGGACCTGGCCTCACTGAGCCTCCAGGTCCGTGGCTTGAAGATACTGGCCCTCAAGTCAGCCAGGGGGGATGGACTATATCGCTTCCAACGTGCTGCAGCCTTTGCTGAACCCCCTGCCCCCATCACGGCTATGCCACATGTGGGTATCGGCTAAGACTGACCTAGCTATTCTGCCAGCCATACCTATGCTCCGGAGCCTTTACAAGTCTACAGGATTCAGTGGCTCTCCCTTCCTTTGACTCCCACATGTTAAGCACTATTTTGAGGATTTTTGTTATGTATGTTTAGTTAGGCACCACCTTGATAGGCACTCTGGCACGACTAGATTAGCATGTCCAACGTATAATATACTTTTACGTTTTATGGGTACAGTGCATTTTGCTGTCATTAACTCCTACAACTCTTGCCTGTCATGCAGCATGGTCACTTAAGGGCAACCACAGTAGTAGGTCTAGCTCTATCTTGTATATCTAGCCTGTTGAGCAGCATCCTATTCAGTACCCGCCTCAGCACGATTTAAAATACCCTTATATTCATTTCTAGCTTTTCAGACAGCTTTCCGAGTTAGCGGCAAACTCAGTGTGCTACGTGGTACTGCCTACAGCAAATATAGCCTGCAGGGCAACATAGCAGCCAAGTGTCACTCTCATTAAGGCTAAGCAACATTACAATTCATTATTATTCCTCAAACTATTAACCTGTATGTCAGTTCTGACAGGTCAGCAAAGCCTGTAAAATTCTATATGTTTACTAGCTATAAAAATGAGGCAATGCTATGTGTTGGGGAATCCCCACATTATATTTGCTCATCCTTGCGACCTAACAGTTACACTAACCTACGGTTATGCCGTGCACTTAATCCTGTACCTAAGCCTGTTAAAGGACCACTCTAGGCACCCAGACCACTTCAGCTTAATGAAATGTTCTGGGTGCCAGGTCCATCTAGGATTAACCCTTTTTTTATAAACATAGAGCAGTTTCAGAGAAGCCTCTTAAGCCTCTAGTGGCTGTCTCATTGACAGCCGCTAGAGGTGCTTGCGTGCTTCTAACTGTGAAAATCACAGTGAGAAGACGCCAGCATCCATAGGAAAGCATTATGAATACTTTCCTATGAGACTGGCTGAATGCGCGCGCAGCTCCTGCCGCGCATGCGTATTCAGCACGAGAGGAGGATTGGAGGAGGAGAGGAGGAGGAGAGCTCCCCACCGGCACTGGAGAAAAGGTAAGTTTAACCGCTTTCCTCTTCCAAGAGCCCGGTGGGAGGGGGACCCTGAGGGTGGGGACACCCTTAGGGCACTATAGTGCCAGGAAAACGAGTATGTTTTCCTGGCACTATAGTAGTCCTTTAATGTTTGAATGTATTCATCTTCTAATGCTTCAATGCATGAACCTAGCTTGTGGTTTATAAAACACTTTTCTTGTCTGACGTACTCTACCGATAGAAAAGCTTTAATTTTATCAAATATCCAAATAAGCATACCTAGCCTGTCTCTGATACATTCTGTTTATTAACCTTGTTTTACAAAAAATATGCAACACTTATGTACTCATATGTTTAATACTGTTTGCACCAGCTATTGTGGCGGCACAAATCTACCTGTGTTCCATATGCACAAATAAAATAAAGAATTAAAAAAAAACAAAAAAAAGAACCATATCTTTGCATTTCATAAAGTTAGTTCAGACTACACTGGCCTATTAGTTCTTTGCGTCTTCCATAATATTCTCTCCTATAAACCGAATACTTCTGAAATATTCATTAGAGGTCAAAAATGAAAGAAAATAACCTCCCACAGACAAAACAGCACTGAGAAGCTGCGATTCCACACCTTTCCCACTATGCCTTTGACAATAGGCAAATAATCCCTAATAAGTATTTCTTATGATCTTACCACAAAATTAAAGGGAAAAAAAAATATATTAAAAAAAATTGTAGAATTCAGCTTTGAAATCCCGTTTATTGCTAGTAGTGGCATTATGGTAGCAGACAACGTGAGGAATCCAAATATACGTCAAATCAGAAAATGATCAGTTCGGACAATAGCCCAAAGACAGTGGATTCTGACAATCACACACTTTATTTACATGTTCCTGCAGCAGAACAATTGTTGAAAACTATTCACTTTTCGGCCAAGTAAACCCCCCACACCCTGTCTCCCTGCTTCATCGCCAAAGTACACAAAGCACACGGCTACGGAAAAAGATAATATTTATATCCTGTGCGAAGGGAGACGCCAAAAAAATTCATGTTTATTTTGTACAGTCAATACAAAAATACATTACATGCAATTTTAATATATCTACAAATTAAATAAAAAAATAAAAAATCTGTTCATGAAAGTGAACAATTTGGTTCACAGACTGTGGATTAGTGAAATGAGAGGTTTCTGTAAACCGGTTAGTCATGTGTAGTTCCTATATGCGGATATAAGGAGTTAAAAGCTCCTAGTTGCTTTCAAATTCAGGTGTGGCTTTTACTGAAACCTGACTTCCTACAAGATCGGTTACAGACGGCTGCAGAGTTAATAAGACAAGAACTCTTTGAACATGGCAGATTCAGATATCACCCCGATGCCTGTCTCCAAATGCCAAAGCTGCGAAGAGTTCTCTACCATGAAATTAACAGAGGAAAACAAAGATTTAACGATCTGTAAAAGTAATTCTGTTCCGCAGATGGGAGCACTGAGCCAGTCTGCAAAAGAACCTGGGGTGGATCCTGAAAAAAGTAATTTATCTGCAGAAGGAAAGCCCGTGGAAGCGGATACCCAAGAAGACCCCAGTGACGACCCTGATAAAGTCTTGTGTGATTTCTGCCTGGAGCAGAAGGTGGCAGCCACAAAGACCTGCTTGACGTGTATGATTAGTTACTGTGAAATGCACCTAAAACCGCATTTAACAAATGTAAAATTACACACACACCAGATCGTGGATCCGGTTAACGACACCAACCTGAGAACATGTAGCATTCACCAAAAACCCTTGGATTGGTTCTGCCAAGAAGACTTAATTTGCGTGTGTGAGGATTGTGCGGAAGGCAAGCACAGCGCCCATACAAAGATCTCCTGCGCAGAGGCTAAGAAAGACATAGAAGTAAGTCATATCATGTGGAACAACAACAGAATGTCCTATGACTCTTTCTTGCATTAATCCTGATTGAATAATTTATCAACTCACTGAAATGTTTCACCTTGTTAATTCCAACCATGCTTCCAATTTAGCAGCAAGTGCCATTCAAGCAGGATATAATAGCATAAATGTTACAAGCAGTAGTGTTTACTGAGGTCAATTATTTACGTCCTCTGCTCACTGTATAGAACTGGTTAATTATTTGGAGGAATGCAATGTGATGAGTGTATTGCAGCATGCTGTTGTAGGTTTTTAACAAAACCTGTTGAATCATGTACATAGAGGAAAGAAATATTTTGGCCTCAAATTTAGTCATCCGAAATTCTCAGTAAAATGATATGTAGCGATTGGATTTAGGATAGACAACGTCTATGGAAGGCTGACTGAGACTGATGGCAGTTGCACTCCACAGCAGCTGGAGTTCTAAAAAAAAAAAAAACCAGTTTGTTTATTACCTGTATATCTAAACCGGCACGGAAGTGGTTATGGTGGTAGAAATCTTTGGGTGCATTACTCCCATTTCCTGTCAAAGTGTTCTCTAGCTACTTGGAGAATGCAGAAAATTAATTTCTGCATTATCTAATGCTGTCCTAATCTGGATAGAAATTTTAAACGAGTCTGTAGTGGTTATGGTGCATAGCAAGCCCTTTAACAATAGTGTTTGTACTGCTGTTTGGTCCCTCAGGAAGTAGAAAGATAAAACCTATGTACAATACAGATGTCAGTCAATGGTGCAACAAAAGCAATGGGGGCCATGTACGTGAATAGTTTTTACTACGCACCCACTATACAATAAAAGAGACGTGAAGGAGAGTTCCTAATAGATGATTTCATGGTCGAGCTGGAGAGCAATGATGCTAGTGACATCTCTACTCCTTGCTCCCTCTCAAAGTTACACTGTAACACAAGGCCTAATCCAATGTCTCCCTGGAACACAACACTCACAGGATAGACTGCAGGGGAGAGCTGCTCTGAATCCAGATCTCCTGCTATCTCAATATGGAGGATAGCTTGTGTTGGAGAGCTTATGGGCACCTTAAGCCATGGGATTCTATTTACAGCTGCAGCCCATGTGATCGCTAGCTATAACCACTGTTGTTACACCTGTAACTGGAGTGAGAGTGGTTGATGCATTCCCTTCACATATAGTAAAGATGAGACCACAGTGTAAAGCACAAGGTTGCAAACTTGTTGCAGCTGACATTTAATGTGGATAAAATAATGCATCTTGGACGTAAAAACCCATGGGCAGAGTACAGAATATTTGATAGAGTCCTAACCACAACATCTGAGGAAAGGGATTTAGGGGTGATTATTTCAGATGACTTAAAGGTAGGCAGACAAGTGTAATAGAGCAGCAGGAAATGCTATGCTTGGTTGTATAGGGAGAGGTATTAGCAGTAGAAGAGGGAAGTGCTCATGCCATTGTACAGAACACTGGTGAGACCTCACTTGGAGTATTGTACACAGTACTGGAGACCGTATCTCCAGAAGGATATTGATACCTTAGAGAGGGTTCAGAGAAGGGCTACTAAACTGGTTCATGGATTGCAGGATAAAACTTACCAGGAAAGGTTAAAGGATCTTAACATGTATAGCTCGGAGGAAAGACGAGACGGGGGGATATGATAGAAACATTTAAATATATAAAGGGAATCAACACAATAAAGGAGGAGACTATATTTAAAAGAAAACTACCACAACAAGAGGACAGTCTTATAGGGACACTATAGTCACCCAGACCACTTCAGCTCAATGAAGTGGTCTGGGTGCCAGGTCCCTCAGGTTTTAACCCTTCAGATGCAAACATTGCAGTTTCAGAGAAACTGCTATGTTTACATTTGGGGTTAATCCAGCCTCTAGTGGCTGTCTTCTGGACAGCCACTAGAGGCGCATCTGCGATGCTGGATGCGAATTTTGCGAATTTCGGGCATATGGCTATTCTAGCTATAAGATAAGGCCAGAGACTAATGAGAGTATTTAGAAAATTGGGCAGACTAGATGGGCCGAATGGTTCTTATCTGCCGTCACAGTCTATGTTAAATAATCTCATAATAATAAGGGACAGCAGAAACGTATGACATACTTCAGTTACAGCTACATATAACTCACGAGTATGTACATCACCTCCTGCTCTAGAGGAAATGTCTCCAAATGTCTCTCCATGTACCTGGTCTGCTAAGGCCAGAGAACCTGATGTAGAAGAAATTGAACGCTTTATTTCCCCTTTGATTAAAAAGTAAGACTGCAGAATCTTATTAGTTCTCACATTTAATCTAGTATCTCAGGCCTGCTGTAAATAACCTGCAATTATTAACATTCAGGATAATATTTGATCCTTTTTTCTGTCCCCTCCACCATCTATGAGTGTTATAGAGGTTACGTACCATGAAAAGAGACAGATCAGGAGCTTCCAAGTTTCTCAGGATATACAAATAATGACGGCACTGTTTTTTCACAGAAGAAATGGAAGAATGAGAGTTTGGCGTCTGAAAAGTCCAATAAAGCAAAAGGGGGGAACATTTTATAAAAAGAGTGGTGAAAACTGAGTGATCTTTCCGTATTGATGGTAGTGATACTAAGCATTCCTATTCATTACGGAGTATGACAAATATAGGAATTAACCAGCATTAATCACAATATCTATGGCTAGACAATTGTAGACCCTTTACGATTTACATGTAACTTTGTCTTTTTGTCTGCTTGTTTTCTTTTCCTTAAGGTAGAAGTTCAGCAACTAGTGGCGGAGTATGATTGGAAACGGACATCGGCTGAGCACGCCATCATTAAATTGGAGACCAACACTAAATCTATCCAGGTGACACAACACACAGGGCGGTGCTTAGACCCACACATGTAGTGACGTAGGTTTTCACACAAAGTCTGAAATGACTTGTGTCTCAGAAGGATGCTGGATACTTCAAATGACTTTCACAATGTCCACTTCTATGAGAATGTTATACGAATGTACCAGTGTGACAATAAAGCAACCAGTCAATCTATTTGTGAACAGTATAGGACAAGTAGTTATTTATTTAGACTTCAGGAAACAAGAGATTTTACCCACAAAAGTAAAATGTTCTTTAAAGGTAGAAATAATTTAATAGATGTGTTCAACTCTTCTGTTGCACAGGGCTAAACTATTCCCAATATATAGTAACTGTCTAAACAATTCACATATAATGAAGTGGTATAAGCAGGGCAACATGCAGACAAAGTTATACTGTATAAAGCCATTATAAAGTGTTTTGTATTTTTCTAAAAACACCTTTGAGAAAGGTTTGCTGATGAAAAATTAGATGAAGATCTGTTGAAAAATATGTGAATATGATGCCAAGCTTTCAAGAATAGTCTCTTAGATCTTTTTGTTGGATGGGCGGAGGGTGCAAACAAATAATTGACCAGGGATATAAGACGGAAGCTGTGGAAAAGAGCAACAAGTATGGATGAAGGAGTAAGAATGAGCATGGCATCATGTGACGGGAATGACTCATGAAATGACACATGAGCTGGTGGGGAATAAAGAGGGAGAAACACTAATTGGGATTGGGAGAGGCACAGCAAGTGAGATGTTCAGATAAGGAAATAGTTGGGAGATACATTTGGAACATGAAATGGGGAAGAGGCAGAAACATGTGACCAATGAGAAAAGAGGACAGTGGGTAAATTATAAGTAAGCTGGGAGGGTACACAGGTCAGTTTATGTAAGATTTTTGGAACAGATTTATAAATATGGAGTAATAAATACGTAACAAATAAGCCATTAAAGCAGTGTTTTCAAAACCAGTCCTCAAGGCACGCGTACCAGTCCAGGATTTAGGGATTAACCAGTTGTGTCAAAGTGTTGTTTTTTTTTCTAAAAACACCTTTGACAAACTGGGTAATCCCTAAATCCTGGACTGGTAGGCGTGCCTTGAGGACTGGTTTGGAAAACACTGGATTAAAGAAAGAGGACCACAGAAACAGAGATTTGGACACAAGGTATCCAAGATGAGTTGGATAAAGACACAGGAGTTTTTATGTGAACATAGTTATTTTTACAATATTACAAGCATACAGCTGAAATAATGTATTCCAATGCACCCAGAATTCTGTTACTGAAGCCAGGAAGGCCATAAACGTGCAGTTTGATGAGCTCCAAGATGCCGTGAAGTCGGCCCGTTCTAAAGTCCTGGATTTCCTAGAACAAAGAGAGAAAGCTTCTCTGAACCAGGCGGACGGGATAAAAACGTACCTGGAGCAGAAATGCAACGAGCTGAAAAAGAGTAAAGCCAAAGTGGAGGGGATCGCCAGTCGCAGGAATGCGTCCTATTTCCTTCAGGTATGAGACAGTATTGATCTAAGCAGATTTCATTTATGGTCACTCGTCCTAAAAATATGAATATTTGCAAATGGAAGAAAATATGACACATGTAAAAGTTAAATTCAACCACATTCTAGGCAATTTAAGCTTGATTGACCAATAACTGTAGTGTAATAAATAACAAATAGGATTTTAGCGCTTGTATAAAAGGCGGATAGGCAGCTGGAACGACCCTAACCAGAGTTTCTTCCTTCTGGTGGTGGATACAAGAACGAGTGGTGGAAGGGTAGCAGCGCCTTCCACCACTCGTTTTAATAACCCTAGTCTAATTGGAACCGTTTGTACATATGTTACTATAATTCTAAATAGAATGTCATAGTTTGTCCAACGCACACACCAAAATACAATAGTGTCTTGGGATTCCAGAGCAAGTACACTGACACTAATTTGCAATTTATCCTACCAATATTTAAAATACCTAGCTGTCAATGAGACAGCTGGTCCTGTTACACCCAGGTTGTTTAGCTCAGTGCAACTAAACTCAAGAGTCAGACAATTGCCCAGCGCATCTATCTTGCAAAGTCTTCACATTGAGCTGCACTTTGAATCTGATTGAACAACCACAAAATGAGCTGAGACAGAAGGGGAGGGCTTGCAAAGCACGCAGACAAGAGATCTGCAGCATTTGCAAGCTCTTTTTAGATATACTTACAATGAAAAAAATATTATAATTAAATGAACACTACAGGATCAACAGCACAGACATATATTACTGACCCTATAGTGTTAAAACCATTTCGCCTCCTTGCTGACATCATTAGAATTTATGATTTCAGCCAATCCAATGCTTTCCCCTAGGAACCGGGATAGGACCAAACGCAGGCTTGGCTAATCACCACCTCCTCACAGAGATGCATTGAATCAATGCATCTCTATGATGAAACTTCAGCGTCTCCATGCAGTTCCGCAGAGCTAAACAACCTGCAAAGCATGGAGACGCTGAACAGTAGTGCTGCAAACTGTGCAGCACTGCCCCAGGAAGCACTTCTAGTAGCCATCTGAGGAGTGGACACTGTAAACACTACCTTTTCTGTGAAAAGGCAGTGTTTGCAGGGAAATGCCTGAAGGGACTAATTACACTCACCAGAATAACTACATAGTTGTTATGGTGACTATTGTGTCACTTTAAAGGCATGCATGTATACTAAATAGTGATTTATTTCCTTTTTACTTAAGCAGTGAAGTGTTCCATTAATCTGGAAAATCATTACCACTGTGACTGTAGTTATGAATAATTTTCTCCCTGACGGAGTAAAGTAAGTGCCATTGCTCTATGAGATTTTCCTCTGAATTTCCACAGGAGTATTGTGAATTTAAGAAGACAAAAGCAGACGACACACTTCCCAGTGTTTATATTGGGCTGAAGGACAAGTTGTCCGGAATCCAAAAGGTTGTTGCAGAGTCCACTGAGAAAATTATCCAAACACTACAGACGTCATACACAGAAAGACTCCAAGAATTTGCCAAGGAAGGTGAGTGAGCATAAGGACACAGGACATGGAACTTACTGGGACCAGATTCCAGATATAAAAATAAATCTTCAGATAGTCAATTGTTTTGAAGTGGACATGGTGACTGGACTCTGTATGTGCAACATTTCACTTTGAAATACTGCACGTACAGAGAGTAACACCTCTGCTGCCAAAGGTGTAACTACACCTTCAGCAGTCTCATTGGGTACCACCAGCCAGCTTGGAACAAGAGTTGTGGATTGGCAAATACCAACATTGATCAAAACTGGCATCTGATACCAGCATGCACAGCATGCTTACACCAGACAGTCCAGGATGGCACAGCCCACCCACTGTTTCGTCTATGTTTTGTGTTTTATCAAAAGACTTGTTTTTGTTTGGAGTAATGCAAAAAATAAATAATAATAAAAAAATTTTTAAAAAAATTATAGAGGATTATTGGTGCCATATGCAATCCAGCTTTATAGTAATGCTATGTAATGAAATCTTTTAAAGATTGTTATTCATTTAGAAAGAATTAGTATACCTTAATTGCTGTCAAATCCCCAGTATCTCTGCAAAACTGCAGTTTAATTTGCTCTGCTGTCTGGAGACGTTCTTGGTCTCTGAACAGATTTTTCGGACTCTCAGAAGGGATCGGGCGCGTTGAGTCAAGCAGGTGCTGTCTCACACATATTCCACCCATAGAACTACCAAGATGTCAAGCAGTCTGTAAAATTAAATTTCGGAAATTAACTCAAAAGAATGAAGCAGGAACCTCCCCATCTAAAGAAACTGCCTACTAATCCCAATATGTTGTCATTCTGAGTCCACTCAATCCAATACACAGTCTAATCATCCTCAACAAACACTTGCTGTTCATCTTGAGACTATGCCCACACATTATCCAAATGCTACAGACCTCATAGACAGACTTTGCCAAGTATGGAGAGTCCGCATAGGGACACAGGAAATGTTAGTTGCAGTGACCAGATTCTGATATAAAAATAGCTTTCCTCAGAGAGTCAAGAGTACCATGACCTTAAAAGACTACTATAGTTTGTCCTCATTTCTCACTATATTACCCCACACACCCCTTCATTTCTCACCATATTACCCCACACACCCTTTCATTTCTCACCATATTACCTCACACACCCCTTCATTTCTCACTATATTACCCCACACATCCCTTCATTTCTCACCATATTACCTCACACACCCCTTCATTTCTCACTATATTACCCCACACACCCCTTCATTTCTCACTATATTACCCCCACACACCCCTTCATTTCTCACTATATTACCCCCACACACCCTTTCATTTCTCACTATATTACCCCCACACACCCTTTCATTTCTCACTATATTACCCCACACACCCCTTCATTTCTCACTATATTACCCCACACATCCCTTCATTTCTCACTATATTACCCCACACACCCCTTCATTTCTCACCATATTACCCCACACACCCCTTCATTTCTCACTATATTACCCCACACACCCCTTCATTTCTCACCATATTACCCCACACACCCCTTCATTTCTCACCATATTACCCCACACACCCCTTCATTTCTCACCATATTACCCCACACACCCCTTCATTTCTCACCATATTACCCCACACACCCCTTCATTTCTCACTATATTACCCCACACACCCCTTCATTTCTCACTATATTACCCCCACTTCCCCTACATTCCTCAGATCCTTTTTCCCACCTCTCTAGCCAAAGTGATATTATTCTCCCTCCTTGACCTTCCCTCTATCCCTAATGTTAGATTATCCCTATCTGCCCTCCCCATTCCATAATTACCCCTGGGCCCGGTTTGGTTCACGGACCTGGCACACGTGGGAGGGTTACAGTGTGAGCGGCGTCCCGCACAGGCCACATGGATAGCTCTTCCTGCGCGGAACCGCGATGACGTCATATCCCGGCGCCCTCCTGACCTCTGTGCTTGGCACAGCCTGGCATGGCCTGAACTGGCTGGAGGTGATACAGTCTAGAGTTGGGGATTTATTATCTTTGGCATTTTTGTTACCATGGAAATTATAATGCTGAAATCATGTCTATTGTTATTGTTTTGTTATGGTTTACACAGAGGATCTGGGGGTTAAAACAATGGTGTTTAGTTTAATACTGTAAGTCAATATTATAAATAAACTAATAGCAACAGTGGATCGATAAAGCACTATTAGCTATTCACTACACCTGGCACAGGGAGTTCATTTAGATAAGGTGTGCAAATTGCTGACAGCACTGGGAGCATGCACTTGGTTAATCTTTAAACCTGTGTTTGGGTAACATTGAATGACCTTCCAAGGCCAATATTTAACTTCCACTGAGATTTAATTAGTTGGTTACAGCATGCCTCCCAAGTGTCCCTGTTTAAGAAGGACAGTCCCTATTTTGGGCCCAAATCCCTATACCCCTCTCTTCTATGCTAATGTCCCTCTTTTCTAAGAGCTCTATATTGATGGTGTGTCTGCGTGTAAAACAGAACAATAATTGTGTCTTTAAACTACAATAAATGTGTTTAGATATCAGTCTGTAAACACAATACATTGTTCGTGTTCTAAATGTATGCGGTTTATTTCCCAAGGTGTGAATTGGCCTGGAAACGGTGCAGATCTGCCCAAGCTAATGGCAAGTCAGTCTGATGTGAATAAACACACCAGGTTGCCTTTCCACCATTCAGGCCGGCCGACAGTTTCAGTGCGCCCTGCAGGGTCCTAGTGCCCTAATCATAGTTTGAGCGTTTCTATTGATGTGCTTGTGCTATGAATGTTAGGTGCCATTCCCAGGTGTCCCCAAAATTGGGACACCAGGGAAGTATGGTGGGACAGAACCTGAAAATCAGGCATGTCCCGCTGAATTCGGGTAGGTTGTGATCCGTGTAAGTCACATAAAATATAGAACAGCCCTACCCCTGTCCACACCCCCAATGATTACCCTAAAATTAAAGTGTCCCTCTTTGTCCATTTGAAATGTTGGGAGATATTTTACATGAAGGAGGCTAAGGGTCCATTTAATGCACTGATGATGGGCCCTGGCTCAGTCACTGGGGCTGGATCTATTTTCCGATCATCACTTGTACTTTTGTACAAAAGGAGCCCCAGCTGGGGAATGTTTGTGCCCTCTGCTCCATTGTTGGTTTCAGTTTCTATTACGTGTATTTTACTCTTCAGCATGTTCATCTCTCCACCCTTTTTGCTTGTGGTATGATTGTAGCACCTGCACCCTTTGGTGATTTTGGCCACAGTACAATACAAGCCTGATAAGATGGGTCATTACTAAACCAAACACACAGTAATAGAAAATGTTTAAAATATAACAATTAATAAACTAGACATGCATTATATGTTAAGATGAAAAGTATAGCACCGCTGAATCATGTGTTGTGTTTTTTTTTGTATACAGAGGATCTGGGGATAAAAACAATGGTGTCTGCCATAGTCCCTCCAATCCACCGAATAGGTGCACCAGAGCCGACAACAAGGAACGATTTCTTGAAATGTAAGTGTATTGTGCTTGACAGCACATCGCTACCTTGTCAGATTCCCTCATTCTGCCACAAGCTCAGATACAGGTCCCGACCAAACTGCATTTTCTTCATTCTCGAGAGCTAAATATTTTGCTTTCTGCCTTGTCAGGCACAGTGTTTATAAGGAGGTTTGTGAGTGGAAAAACAGAAGCAGCGCAAGTCCCAGTTTCATGATAAAAAATGCTTAGGTGAAACATGGCTGGATTCACACACTCACAGCTGATTAGTAAATTCAAGCATTGAATGTCAGGAGCCATTTTGTGCAGTGATAAAGACTCTGCAGTAACTATGCATTTAATAGTTCAGGCTCCTCTGTGGCATGGCTGCTTCCTCTCCACTTTCCGTGGATATATTCACATGGAAGCAGGACTCGGGTATACCTGTCCCTTGCGTGGCGTGATGTATTGGGGCCTGTTGAGGGTCACCCTGGGTTATCCTGGTGTTGGGACTAGAGAAATAAACCAGCCAACAACCCAGATTTTATCGATGTCTTGACTGGAAAACAATATGAGATACTTAAAGGGACATTATAGTCACCTGAACAACTTTTGCTTAATGAAGCAGTTTTGGTGTATAAAACATGCCCCTGCAGCCTCATTGCTCAATCCTCTGCCATTTAGGAGTTAAATCCCTTTGTTTATGAACCCTAGTCACACCTCCCTGCATGTGACTTGCACAGCCTTCCATAAACACTTCCTGTAAAGAGAGCCCTATTTAGGCTTTCTTTATTGCAAGTTCTGTTTAATTAAGATTTTCTTATCCCCTGCTATGTTAATAGCTTGCTAGACCCTGCAAGAGCCTCCTGTATGTGATTAAAGTTCAATTTAGAGATTGAGATACAATTATTTAAGGTAAATTACATCTGTTTGAAAGTGAAACCAGTTTGTTTTTTCATGCAGGCTCTGTCAATCATAGCCAGGGGAGGTGTGGCTAGGGCTGCATAAACAGAAACAAAGTGATTTAACTCCTAAATGACAGTGAATTGAGCAGTGAAATTGCAGGGGAGTGATCTATACACTAAAACTGCTTTATTTAGCTAAAGTAATTTAGGTGACTATAGTGTTCCTTTAATCAACTTGTCTCTGACAAGATATTTAGAATCAGTTATTATAAGCATTTTTGTAATGAAGCTAAAACCCATAGCACAAATTTGACCTTCAGTGGATTTTGTAAGTCCTTTGATTCCTACCAGAAAACACCACAGATTCTATTCTAGAAGTAGCTCACAATTAAATTAAAGGGACACTAGAGGCACCCAGACCACTTCAGCAAACTGAAGTGGTCTGGGTGCAGTATTCCTTTTGCACTTTGTGCTGCAGTGTTAACTCCTTAAGGACCAAACTTCTGGAATAAAAGGGAATCATGACATGTCACACGCCATGTGTCCTTAAGGGGTTAAACATTGCAGTTCCAGGGAAAGTGCAATGTTTACATTGTAGATCTAAGTCTGCCTCTACTAGACAGCCACTAGAGGGCTTCCTGGATCGAAACAGACCTTTCGTTCAGTATTTGACGCTGGACGTCCTTATGCTGTGCATGAGAATATCCAGCGTCAGATTTTTCCCATAGGAAAGCATTGATTCAGTGCTTTCCTATGTGAAGGTCTAATGTGCACGCAGCATGCGCCCGCTCATTGCAGGATGTCCGAGGGGGAAGAGCTTCAACCCAGCGCCGAGGGACCTCAATGCTGGGGTAAGGTAAGCAAAAAAGGGGTTTTTAACCCTTTATTTACCGTGCAGGAGGGGGGAGGCAGGGGGAGTGATAGTGCCAGGAATACAGCTTTGTATTCCTGGCACTATAAGTCTGTGCGCGCATTACCCATTTGCTGTCCGTAACAATTACACGATTCTGGCCCTTTTTGTATATTATATTGCAGATTATTTAAATTCTTTTCTATGCCAATAATTGAGATTATAGAACCCTAGCATTGTACATTGTAGAAGTTTACAGCCTTTCACATTAAATATTTGCTTTGCTCTAATTAATATTTTACACTGAAACTGGATACACCCATCCTGTATTTAGGCCATGTTCCTGATCTGCCATTCTAAGGAGCGGCCCTAAGTGACTTCACTGAGGTTGTGTAATAAGACCTAGTAATGTATCACATCACACACATAAAGTGTTACAATAACTATAGAATCAGTGGACAAACAAGTCTTTTCAGGTGAAACAATGTGCTATCAAGCAGATAATGTGAGGTTAAACGTATAAACAGAGTTTGTAATGGGACATTTCTTTTTATAAGTGTTGTTGACCGACTTTTATAGTAAATGTGTCAGTTTATGTAGTTAAGGTTTTATTGTTTAGAGGTGGGGTAGGGGGATGATGTATCTTATATTGCTGTAACAAAAGCAGTTCCACAGAGTGAATGACATGAAGCTTAGCAGAGCATCTTGGGAAATGTAGTTTAGAAACAACAGTGAAAGAAAACAATCACTAGCACATAGTAAATACTATGTGTAAGTACTCATTTTTAACTATAATAATTTTAATTATTAGTGTTCATTTTTCACTATAAAAATGTTAATTAATTATAAAAAATTTAATTATTTGATGGCAGTTTTTCAAATATATATATATCTTTTTTTTTTTTTTTATTAGATAAATCGAATGTCACTTTGGATCCAGACACTGCTCACCGTTTTCTAAGGCTGCAACAAGACAATCGCAAAGTTACTAACAGCGCCCCCTGGCAACATCCTTACCCAGACCACCCAGAAAGATTTGAGCACTGGAGACAGGTTCTGAGTGAGGAGAGCTTTTACCTTGGTCGCCATTATTTCGAGGTAGCATTTAAAGGTGAAGTTATCCACGTTGGAGTGACGTACAAATGTATCGACAGGAAAGGTGCGGAGAGCAATAGCAATATTACAGGAAACGATTTCTCGTGGACCTTGAAATGGAACGGGAAGGAATTCTCAGTTTGGCATAGCGATGTCGAAACACCTCTAAAATCTGAGAAAACATCCAGGGTCGGTGTCTATGTGAACTACCAAAGTGGCACTGTAGCTTTCTATGGTGTCACCAGTACCATGACACGACTCCACCAGTTTGAAGCAAAATTTGCAGAACCTCTCTATGCTGCTATCTGGCTTCCTAAAAAAGAAAATTCAGTGACCATTATTTCTCCTGATGAAATGCTTTTGCCCTTGGTCACTTCTCCATCACCTGTTGAAACAAAGTCAGAGCCAATCTATTCTGAGAGCACATCGACTGTGAGCAGTAGAACAGAGATCTTAGTCAACGGAACTATCCAAACCGTTATCGTTGAGACCAGCAGTGTTAAAAAGTCCATTGACGGCACAATATCAGAATCTTCTCTCCTTACTACATTAACATCACCAGATCCTATCGCTGAACTGGCAGCCGCAAAGATAACTACAGTTTAATTCACTTTAACTCAATTAAATGTTCTGTTATTGATGTTTTTTTTTTCAAAGCTATAGTGTTGCAGGAAAATATTCCTTAGTCTAGTGTGAAAAGTCTCTTATTGGACGTGTTCCATTATCGGAGTGTATGTTTTGCAATTAGTGATGTTTTGTCTTCTTCGTTCTAGAGAACATTTCTTCATTGTACAACTAACGAGCCACGTGCTGCTCTCTGAGCCTTCATTGACAGCTTACAATTGGCTTCTTTGGGTACCTAATGCATGCACACCCAATGAACAGCACCGTGCCCTCCAACTCTCAGGAGCAAAACCTGCTGGCCCCCCCCACGCAGGCTGCAAAATCTGTCTAAGGGGGAGCATACTAGTGATTGCTCAGGCCGGGACACAGTAAACAAGCTATTGAAACACTATGCTTCAGATTGGCAAACAGGCTCAGTGCTCTTTGTGCCAAGAGGGCGATGATACATCATGTGTGTCATACATCTCCACCTTGTTACAGCACATTGTATGGCAATCTAAAGCATGTTGGCTTCCCTTAATGTGCCAGCCTGCCTGGGAAATAACTTGTATCCCACTAAAGAACGCAACAAGGTACATAGTTATATATAAGCAGGGGAAACCAGTAAGATAAGCAGGATCACTGGGGGGTAATGGGCAGGGGACATCAGACAGTAGACCTTTCTAAGTTAACTTTTTCCAGATTGTCTGCAATATATGTTCAACTTTTTCTGTAAGAAGAAATTAGCTAAACTGCACCATGTGGCTCTCCTACAGGCTGTCTGTTGTCACTGTGGCTATCTTGGGAAAAAAATGATGAGGAATTCTGCTCTAGAAAATAGGTCACTAAAAGTCTTATCTCCAGATGATGTCGAAGTGCGAGTCTCATGATATTGTTTTCAGCCTTAACGCTGTATCCAACACATCATGGGAGTGGTAGTTTTGACATTTCCACCCTGACTCCACCAAATGTATTATCAAGTAAACAGAAGTGTTGTAAGAGAAATGTTTGTTCAGAAAACATTGAGGAGACTGGCCAAGAACTGTATCATCATGCAGTATGTATGTACGCAGGGAAAGTAACCTTGTAAAATGTTGGAGTCAATGCATGTGATCAGGGGTTAAATATTTCAACATCACTGCAGCCCAAATCCCACTTGGTTCATCACTAGTCCCTACATTACTTTAGAACAGAGAAGATATTGGACTGTAATGATGGAATTCTGCCACATGTACATCCTCCCCCCCCCCGTGTTCATGTAAAGTATTGCAAGCTCAAAAAATGCTTCTAAGGCTTTAATTTATTTAATCTGAGTAATCTTCGGGCTGGCAAACTAATGCTTCCTAAGACTCAGTGTTCTCTCCCCCACCCTGTAAATATTATATAATTGCAGCTTTAAGTTATCTTCTAGCCAAGCCCTTTAAATAAAATTACTTTTTCTTTACTTCTTTACTTTTTTCCCAGTTACTGTCTGGATCTGCATTCTGCCCAGTTGTGTATACACTAACTCATTTCTTATTCTTGACTAGTGGTGTTTAACCCCTGGGTCAGAACCCATACATTGGTCCCCATGTCATTTTAACAGCTGCAATCAATTGCTTTAGGTTGCTTTCAGTAATGGAGGAGACTATATTTAAAATAAGAAAAACTACCACAACACGAGGACATAGTCTTAAATTAGAGCGGCCAAGGTTTAAAAATAATATCAGGAAGTATTACTTTACTGAGAGGGTAGTGGATGCATGGAATAGCCTTCCAGTTGAAGTGGTAGAGGTTAACACAGTAAGCATGCATGGGATAGGCATAAGGCTATCCTAGCTATAAGATAAGGTCATGGACTAATGAAAGTATTTAGAAAAATGGGCAGACTAGACGTGCCGAATGGTTCTTATCTGCCCTCACATTCTGTGTTTACTGTAGCTGCACTGTTTCTCAAATGCCATAGAATAGCGGGACAAGTCTAATTACATTTAGACTTTTGTACTTTTTTTTTTTGTATCATTTGTACTTTTGCAAGTTGTGTTTGTTTAATTATTAATTACGTTACCCTTGAAAAAACTAGTAGTGCAAAACTAATTTTACAGTTAAAGAATAGGTTGCCAAACATATGTCTTGTATATGGTTTCAGTCTGTTAAGGACCAACAAGCCCACTTTGTATATTGATTGTGATAATACACATTACATTATCCATAGCAACTCTGTGCTGCAACTTAAAGTAGGAAACCCTCTTTGTCCTTCTACAATGGACACATCCAGTTATCACTTTTTGAAGAGCTGTTGAAAAAGGGTAAGTGAACCAATAATTACCCATTGTCCCTAAATTACATCTAGACGACTGAGAAAATAGAAATATAATCTACAAACAAGCGTAGCGTTCAGGAGACTGATTTGAGATGCAACAAAATAACACATAGACCCATCCCGTAATACATTCCACATAAACTCCAAAAAACAAACATACAGCACCCCGGTACAATGTAGGAGTACTATGCTTTGCAAGCATTAAGTCTGGGAAATGTAGTCTAATATATTGAGTGCCCAAGGTTGCATGCCCTGGTCTGGGGGAATGTCAGGTCACCATTAATGGGTTAGTCCAACCTTTTTTCCTTATTTTCTTAATTGTGTTTATAGTGTACATTATACAGCGCTACGGAATCTGATGGCGCTATATAAATAAAATAATAATAAGTGCCCTACTGGGCAGTTGTTACTAGTTCCACATTTACTTTTTGTGATAAACTGTGGAAAATAAAGGATAAACCTTACCTCGAAGCCAAATTCTTCCCCACCTTCGTTATCACCACGCTGCATCACGGGTTCAATCAAACGGTTCTCCTAAAGACTGAGGGGAACCTTTTGATTGAACGCATATGAGGTTAGTGCTGCCATCCACCAATCAGATACTTCTGAAATAAAGTGCCTCCTTCTCTGGCAAACTATTTCTTTATTTTTTTTATAAATTCTTTATTTTTGAGTCTTCAAAAGAAGAATTTTTTTTTTTTTGTAACGTTATGGGGTACAGAAAGGAAAAAGGGGTGCAACATGTTACAATTATATTGGTTACATTTGTACTCATTAATATATCCCTGTTTACATTCACTGTTTCAGTTGTCCAACATGTAACTCCCGTTGCCCTGGGTCTGGAAGGGTCGGGTGGGTTTCTTTATTTTTTTGAATGCCGTGACTCTCTCCTTTTTGACTGTGACAGGTTTGTTGCCAGCCTAAGTTTGCAACTTTTGATGTTTAAAACACATTTCTTTGTGCAATGGATGTTACAGACTTCATACATGCATACATGGGTCTTTCAGTTAACTTTAACCCTTTAAGGACCAAACTTCTGGAATAAAAGGGAATCATGACATGTCACACGTCATGTGTCCTTAAGGGGTTAAATTAAAAATATATATATATATGTAAAGACAAACATAGTTTAGAATGCTTCTCTTACAGTGACAGCAAATCTTGGCATGCTCAGCCACTGCAAGACTTAAAGGAACAGGCACAAATGGCATTTGATTGTGACTCAGTGATAGCTTGAATTTTGCCAGAGCATCATGGGAAAAATAGTTTTTAAAACATGGAGTACAAATGTTAGCCATCATTTTTACTGCATTCAAGAATGGTTTTTGTTTTCATTGTTTTGATGGGTTTTTTTTTTAGCCCATCTCCTTACACTGCCATACGGGTTTCTATTTTCCTACAATGCAATGACCACTATGTAAATCTTTTCTGATACATGGAATATATAAATTAATAATGAATTAAATAAAGGAAAACCCTTAAACATTTTTGGTTTGACTGAAATTTGTTTTATAGTGAATAATAATATCCAATATTTGTCTGGACGAAAACAGGAATGCTCATTTATTCAATATACAATGAATTGTGGTTATTTGGGAATATTATGAGAAGTATGGCCAGTATAGCACCAATAGACAGCCCTATGAGAGTTCAAACTCAAAAAGGGAAATGTCCGCTCAGACAGTGAATGTAGAACCTTATTGTGCAGTTAGTGAATGCGTAGTATGTCTTTCTGACAGGGTTATTCAATAAAGTGAGAATTCAAAAGGAATTTAAACTTATTTTCAGATTCATACATAGCCAAACTAGATACCTTCTCTAAGTCAAACTGCCTTCAGTTCAAATAGATGGACGATAGTGGTGAGACATAAGTTAAAAAGTGACTTTTATTTCTAAAATTAAAAATAGTTCGCTAGTGTTAGGATAGCAAATAGCAATACTAATGGTAATAATGATATTTGAATAGAAAATGGATTACTCCTAAGGTGGATACTGCGTATATATAGGAGAAAAGATTGTTAAATTACACAACCCTCCAAAAATAACTTGTTAGCAATAAATGAATAACAATGTATTCAATGAGCCACTAGATGTCACTAAATTACAGAGTGAAGAAATCTAGTTGCTTAAAGGAACACTATAGGGTCAGGAACACAAAGCCATTTAGGTGGCTTGCCCTCCCTTAGCCCCCTATAAAAGTTTAAAACTCACCTTATCTCCAGCGCCGCGCGGGTCCGCCCCTTTGTGACATCATCAAAATGGTCGATTTTTAGCCAAGCTTATAAGGAAATCATTAGATTGATTACAATTTGCATGTGGTAAGGGCCACATGCTGTTTTGGCCAATCAGGACCTCCTCATAGAGATTCATTGAACCAATGCGTCTCTTTGAGGAAAATTCAGCGTCTCCATGCAGAGCGTGGGGACGCTGAATGGCAGGGCTGCTTACTGTGCAGCACTGAGCCAGGAAGCACCTCCAGTGGCCATCTAAGGAGTGGCCTTTTGGAGGTGTCCCTAGGGCAATGTAAACACTGCCTTTTCTCTGAATTGCAGTGTTTGCATGAAAATGCCTGAAGGGAGCTATCACACTGACCAGAACAACAACATTAAGCTGTAGTTGTTCTGGTGACTATAGTGTCCCTTTAAGTTCTAAAGAGAAATCAAGTTTTTTAAGGTCTTTTGAGTATGTAGAGAGCTAATGGAAATATAAATATAAATCAGTGAGGGAGGGTGCATGTGTTGGTTGGTCCCTATTATAATCTGAAAGTTAATCAACAAACTCGTCCCTACATGTTTGTCAGCTGGCACATGTTCCGTCCATGGAGTAAGCCCGAAATTGCAGTAGTAAACAATTGATTTTATAACAGGACACGGAGGCTCATATTGCATATCCCTTTCTTTACTGTCCACCAATAGCAGCAAAGAATACAAACAGAGTGAAAAATAATGAACATGCAGTAACATAGGCCCCTCCCCGCTCAGGTCCCAGTATAATAGGCAGCATTTCCCTTCCATTTCACTCTTTCTTTGCTGCTCCGACACAAAGATAAGTACATGTCACTTTTTCTCTTCATATATTTTCTATTGTACTGTTTTTTTCTCATTGATTTATTATACAGTTGCTTACTGGTAACTGGTAGTATTCTGTATTATTATTATATTGATTTACATTTATTTTGCATTTATTTTACACTTATTTTATATATTTTATATTTATCTTCATATCTAGTATTATATTGTTTTATTATATTTGGATGTCTTTATCCTGCATTGGTTTTTCTGTACACTGTTGTGTCCTTCACTTACCCAGGGTTCAGACCTCCCCTGTCACTCTATATTGCTGTATTCTATCCTCCTTTCCTTCCTCCTCCCTGCCCTCAGCGCCATTTTGCGCACGTTTTCTCCTCTACCCGGCTGTGTATGCGCACGAATTAAGCCTATTCGGCTGATTCGCCATGCATACATACCATTCTCCATTTGGAAAATAGCACGTTCGCTTGTTTGCCGCATTCAAATTTTTTATGCGAATGGCCCGTTCGCCTACTTTATATTTTCTCCCTATACTTACCTATCTGGTTCCCAAATTCACCTTTTTCAACCGAACGTTCGTTTTTTTACCATGAATCTCGCGGATGCCGCGAATCCCACGAGATTACTGGCGGCCATTTTCAGACTTCCTGTCTTCTTTCCTACCCTACATCTGAGTGTGCCACTGGTCTGGGCCCTGGTGAGAGCATTTTTTGTTTGGCTATTGCTGTTTGGGTGACTAACCCATACTATTCCTGCTTATTGTTTGGTACTATTCTCCGGCTATATTAACATGCCTAAACCCAGACTACCCCACTCATTAGGAGTGAGGCCCCTGTCACCTCAGGCAATTCGCCCACTATGACAGACGGAACTACCCACCCTGATGGGGCACAGTTCCTAGCGCTACAGCGCTCGGTGACAGACGCCATTATGGCGGCCATGGGGTCTATGTCCTCTACCCTCTCCCACACCATTTCACAGGCCCTTCGGACGAGCAATACTCGGGCTCCTCGATGCCTTTACAGACGCCAATGTGAACCCTCAGGGAGAGATATATAAAAAGGCTACCCATAAGTCTCAACATCCCTCTGCCTCCAGAAACACCATGACTGGCGTACCTACGGTCGCCTCAGAAAGCGTGTCCCATCCACGCAAAAGAGCCTTTCCGCACCAGGCAGAACGGGCGCGGCTATGGAAATGTGCCAGAGCACAGTTAGAGAGTGACTCCGATTCAGAAATTGGGTCAAATGAGGAGGCTAAGATTGAGTCAGACAGTGACTCTGATGCGGATGCCGCTGATACTGGCTTTAACCTCATTTCCTCTGCTCAGGCAGAGACGCCCGGAGGCAATACAGGGATCAGGAACCCCGCGGCCGCGGGGTCCACCCTTGTGGATCCGTCGGGTGTCCCACTCTTCGACCTGGATGACTTACACCATCCGAGATTGGCAGAGTGGCTCCCGGCCGACCATGTTGCCACATATTTGGAAAATTGGGTCAGACGACCCCTGAGTAAAGCGGCCCGCAACAAATTGAGGGCAGAGTGTCCTAGGCCTGTGGTGCCTAATAAAGTTTGTGACACTCCTGAGGTAGACCCCAAGATGACCCAGTTCCTCACCAAATTGGGCTGGAACCCCCGTAAGTGGCTGGAATCTGCATTGAAGTCCTGCCAGGACAAACACTTGGTCATATTCGGCCCTTTGGCCAAATTATTTGACTTGGCGGAAGACGCCAGAGCGGAGAACCGCATGGTTGACCCCGAAGACCTACATGGTTGGGTCCAGAGAGCAATATGTATTGCCAGGAGTGTGAATACCTCCCTATCAATAGAACGGCGTAAGGCCATATTGTTTAAAATAAAGCCTAAACTGGCCAACCTCGCCCTCACAGAGGCGGGCAAGGACGCCCAAGGATTTCTCTTCGGAGACTCCTTTATTAAGGATTTAGGGCACTTTGTTGGAGCCTTCACAGCCCTAGATAAGGCCCAGGCCTCCATGAGACGGGTGTTCCAGGGGCGGGTCTCCACCAGGGCCGGCAGATTCAGGAGCCGTCTGGCCGGCCGCAATTACCCCCAACCCCCTTGGCACGGGAAGAGGCTCCTTCCAACACCGTACGCAGTACCAGGAATCCAACTCCCACCCCACATTCTTCCCATCACGTGGATGTCCATGGCGATCCAGAGGTTTTCGGGGCAACTCAAGTTCAAGACGACCATACAGTGAGTTACCTCATACTTCTTCTCTGGGTTGTGTAGGGGGCAGACTCCGACATTTTTTCCCAGCCTGGTCACAAATAACATCAGACCCCTGGGTGCTGACCACTTTTCGGGGTTTCCATATAGAACTCATAAATCATCTGATACACGTTCCTCCTCCTCGACCGATCTGTTTTTCACTCCAGGATCGCAGACGGATCGATGAGGAACTCCACCCTCCTTATCAAAGGGACTATAGAACAAGCACCTCTCAACCCTGCAGGTGTCATAAGCAACATCTTCCTGGTGGAAAAGAAAAGCGGTCAATTGAGACCCGTCATAAATCTGCGCCCCCTCAATGCCATAGTCAGGTACCACCATTTCAAGATGGAAGGCATTCATCTATTACGAGATCTCCTCCTCCACGGAGATTGGCTAGCGAAGCTAGACCTCAAGGATGCGTACCTGACGGTGCCGATAGGAGTGGCATCTCGAGACCTCCTACGCTTTCACTGGTGGCACGAGACCTGGCGGTTTACCTGCCTACCCTTTGGCCTCTCCTCAGCACCGTGGTGCTTCACGAAGCTACTACGGCCTGTGATGGCCTGGTTATGCAGTCGAGGAGTTCGGCTGATCGTTTACCTAGACGATATTCTCCTCATGGCTCAGGAGCGTTCTACCCTCCTTACACATCTACGGCTGGCCATAAGCCTCCTTTCCCGCCTAGGTTTCATTATCAACTGGGAAAAGTCGTGCCTAACCCCCGCCACTCGCATGGAATTCCTAGGATTCTTTGTGGATTCGGGGGAAGCGACGCTGAGCCTCCCGATATCCAAGATTCGCTCCATTCGCAAGGAGTTACGCAGAGCCCTCATCCGGCCCCAGCTCACCTTGCGCCAGCTTGCACGACTCATCCGCCTGCTGGCCTCCTCGGTACAGGCTGTGTTTCCGGGCCCGCTCCACTACCGAGCGCTACAATGCCTGAAGATCGCTCACCTGAGAGCCGGTGCATCCTACGCGGACCTGGTGTCACTGGACATCGAGACGAAGGACGGATTACGATGGTGGATTCTCAACCTGTCCGCGTGGAACGGCAAAGCCATCTTCGGCTCAATGCCAGAATTCACGATCGACTCAGATGCGAGGGGGGCCGTTGGTCGGAATCCGAATCCCGGCTACACATCAACGCGCTGGAACTCCTGGCAGGCTCCTTCGCCATCCGCAGTTTTGCCAGGGACCGAGCCCTAACATGCATT